GGGGGGGGGGGGGAATTATTTCATTGCCACCCTCTGGCTCTCATGCTCAACTCCAGGCAGAGGAAAGGGGAGTGGCATGTACACATTATATGCAGTAGGTTGCAGGGCTCCTACTGACAGGTCAGGGCCCTGTACTGGGTATGGCCTGGCTACAGAACTTCCTTCTCCGGGTGATATACCAGAGATGTGTTTATGTTAAGACTCTTGAATGTACAGCCAGGTACATAAGGTCTGTTCCACACGTACCAGTGGCTGAAGAGTGTAACATAGTTATGCATTCCATTACTTCTCCCCCTTTGAGTTCCACTTTCCTGCCATTCACATCATTCACAAGGTCAAGCTGTCTTTGAAGTTCAGCATGTATCCATCTGATAGGTGTCTCTGAACTGCACTGGTTTTCCAGTTACATGGCTGGAGTGCATGACAACTCGATCATCTGTCTGGCCACTAGCTGCAGCAACTGGCGTTGGCCCGTTTGGAATTCTTTGAGTTGTCTCTTTGTTCTGCATCTGCCATCTGTACAATGTGCTCTGTTGGTTGTTCATTCTGAGAAACGCACTGTAGATGTTAATGGTGTCTGTTAAACTCTCCATTGTTGGTCTCAGTGACATGTGATCTGGGTGCTAAATTGTTTTATTTTTTATTTGACAGCTGGAGTTGTCCATCTTTTTTCTCCAGCCAATCTGACACAGACATGATCACCAGGTTCTAGACCTTGTAGGTCTTTGAGTGACATCTGCTATAAAAGTGTTTGTATGCTCTTTTTGCCTTTTTTTTTTTTAAATCTGATTTGGCTACTCACCTCTTGTCTGGCCACTCGGGAGATGGAATCTTTTCCAAAGTCAGAACAGTAGTTCTGATTTGTCTCCCCATCAGGAGTTGTATTGGATTCTATCCAGTAGCTGCTCTTTGTGTTGATCTGTAAAACAGAAGAGCAAGGAATGAAAATTCCTGTTGTAGGATGTTCTTGGATGCCTGGACTGCTCTCTCAGCCTCTCCATCTGCCTCTGGGTAATGCGGGCTGCTAGTAATATGATCAAAATCATCTTTCATTTGGAATGACTTAAATTGTGCTGCAATGAATTGTGATCCATTGGCCATCAGTAGTTGTCTGCAATACCAAAATGAGAAAAAGTGCATGTCCGTTTCTCTATTAGACAGCAACATGGTATGTCTTTGAAGCACATTATTGCTATTCACTTGAAAAATAGTCCATTCCTATCAGGTAATGATGTCCTCTGAATTCGCATAAATCTGCAGCTAATCTCTTAAAAGGTCTCTTTGGTAGAGATTTTTGTGTATTGCTTGATCCAGCAGTCTCTCTTAATTTTATTTATACTAGATCTCATTTTAAAAGTCTGGTATGTTCAAATCCTCCATCGAGTTCTTCCTTTCCCCCCGCTCTCCCTCACTAAGCTATTCATAGTCATCACACTGTGACTGAAAAAGTTGTTGGCCCTTGATCCCTTGCTCACGCGCATTTTGAATGCAAACCCATAATCTGTGTAAAATGGTTCTGTGGCGAGCCAGTCCTGACTGTTCAGAATACCTCCAGGGCTAATCAAGGTTGTTAGGTGACTTCAGCTCTGGGAGGGGTTGAAAATCCGTTCTGAGAATATGATTCATCTCCTCCTGAGTCACTTTTCCCATCAATATTCAGTTTTACTTTCCTTGTTATTACACATGATAGAAACATTGGCTCGATTGTACTCTGTAATCATAATTAGCTCGCTCACTGCCTTAGTGCAGTAAACAACTGTACAATGTCCATATTTATGCATTTATTGTACATTTCACCTCTCATTGGACACACAAGTCTGGAAGTATGGTGTCATGCAAAAGAGGCTCCTACCTGTGTTACTGTCAAACCAGGAAAAGACACCTTTCCCAGATGGCCAAAGACCGATCACCTCCCCGATGTGATGCTCTGGTTCCGAGGCACCAAGATCGTTGTACTTTGGTCAGGCCTTCCTCAATATCCTCTTTCCATCAACAGAAAGAGAAGGTTGATGAATACAGCATTAGACAGCCCAAGTCGTACATGCAGCAGGATTTTAATCCTAAATGTGGGAGGTAGTGGCCAGAGATCAGAGAACTCAGCAAGGGAAAGCAAGGCCAAGGATCACACTAAATGCTAAGCTCTGCATCTTAGTTTATTTATTAATGAAGCTGCTAAAATGTAACTAGGACTCCCATTGACTTTGAAAAGTGTCAATGGCACGCAGATCCGTAAATAGAAGTGAATAAGTTAAATCTTGGCACGCCACTTCTGTAAGGTTGCCAACTCCTGAATGGTTAGAGCAGGGGTGGGAAATCTAAGGCCTGGGGGGCCGAATCCGGATCCTGGCTTGCCTGGATGCGGCCCCTGAGGCTTGGGGCTCCCCCCTCCAGCATTGGGGAGTCCATGCTGGTGCTCCAGCCACACACCATCCCCTCTACAACTGCCCTCACAGGTCTGGAGCACCAGTGCCAGCTTCCCACAGTGGGGAGAGGAGCCTTAAGCCTCAGAGGCCAGGGTCAGGCAAGCCAGAGCCAGATCCAACCCATGAGCTCTGACTGGTATGGGGAGATATTGGCTCTGCATACTGACTCTTCTCCTCCACCCCAGCACTGCCTGGAGGTTTTTTCTCCTCAAAATCTATTAGCCCACACCCCACTAGGCTCTGGGGTGGGAGGGAAATGGGGAGGGGTATCTTTCTGCTTTTTAGCCAGGGGCTGTGTCAGAGAAGTAGGGTGTTATTGTGTTTGTTTGGGGGGGTTATTTTGTTGTTTGGGTTTTTTGTTTTTGTTTTTGTTGTTTTGCTTCTCACTTGCAGCCCCTAACTGTTTTTTCCCCCCTGTGGATCAATGGCCCCCAACCCATACAAGGTTCCCCACTGCTGGGTTAGAGCATAGTACCAGGAGGAAGAAAACCTGGTTTCTATTCTTGGATCCACTTCTATCCTGCACATGTCACGATAGTGCCACGCGAGTGAGGAGAAGAGGAACACTCAAGAGTAAATTGTGGTTGAGCAGTATACTTGGGAGGCACAATTGAAGAATCAAGGGGTGTTATATGTCATTTGGTACTTCATCCAGGAATGATATAGAATAATTTATTTCAAACTAATGAATCTCTCCATAACATTGGGTCGTGCAGTTTTGTAGGCTGTGTACAAAAGTGCAGCATTCAAAAGAACATTCTGCTTTTCTCCTGGCATGCTTGGTTCTTTCTCCCTAGGGTTTTGTTTCATTGGTTTCCTTTTCTCTGAAACAAGGGTGCTGCTATTCACTTTTTTTCATGACATAAGAGCAAGAGACACTCAGTGAAACTGAAAAGTGTCAAATTAAAAACTGGTCAGAGAAAAACCTTTTTTTACATAAGGCATAGTTGGTCTGCGGAACTCTTTACCACATGACATTACCTAGGGGTAAGAGCTTAGCAGGGTTCAAAAAAGGACTGGACATTTCTATGGAAAACAAGAACATTCTCAGTTATAATCGCGATAATTAAAAATAAACAAGAGCTTTGGGTACAACCCCTCAAGCACCAGGACTGGAGCCAACCTCAAACTACAGGGAATTAAACAGTTTCCTGGGGACAGCTATCCATACCTGCCTACTGCAGGCATTTCTGCACCTTCCTCTGAAGCTGCTTGTGCTGGCCAATGTCAGGGGCAGTTACACTGGCCTTGATGAAATCGCTGGTTTGATGGGGTCTGATCATTCCTGTTTTCCTATGCACACTCAGGATGAAATAATAGCAGAATCTAGTCCAGCACCTTTGCTATCTGACCGGTGGCAAGCAGTCAGATAGCCGGCTCGTGGAACGGCTAGATTAGAAGCCTAATCCGAACTAGCTAGTCTGTGCCGCGTGTAGGCACGCGGCACGGGGTTCGAACTAGCCGGCATTTAAAAATGGCGCCGGCCGGCTTCATGCAAATGAAGCCCGGGAAATTCAAATCCCGGGCTTCATTTGCAACTGCGGATGACTACATTACCCCCGCTAGTTCGAACTAGCGGGGTAGTGTAGACATACCCCCTTGTCTGGGTGTCTGTCACCCTGCAGCCCAAGTTTCTCCGCTGGGGTTAAGAAGTCAAGTCTTTTGTTGTCAGAATCAATCGTAGAAATAGCGGTAGCACCCTCAGGGGAGTGCTGCTCATGAGGGAGGGTAGGGGGACCCTGGCCTGTTCCCTCTCATGGGTCCCAGCCCAGGGCCCTAAGGACCAACGCCCTTAGGGGTTTGGTCCGACTGGTGGGGCATCAGCCGAAACACACCAGTCCTCGGACTTTTTAATCCCTCGCTCTACTGTGGGCTACTTCCTACCCTCTCACGCTCTGGCCAGTGCATGCCAAAGATACCCAGCACTGTAGGGTTCTTGGTCTGCCACCCTGCCGCCAGGCACTCTCACACTCCTCACGCTCGAGGGGTTTGCCCTTTTGACCTTCTGGCTGGGCATCCTATCTGCTCCTCCCCTCTGACCTTACGTGCCCCCGCACGCTGCTCTTTCACCCCGCCTACCCACCCCAGATATGCCACACTTCCCAGTCCCCCTCCCAGCCGCAGTGGTGGCCGGTATCCACTCCCCCACCTCCCAGCTGATGCCGCAAGCCACGGAGTAAGCGGCGCAGGTGTGCGGCTCTGAGCCTGATTCCTCGTGCGAGACGGGAATCGGTGCGGGCTGAGTGCGCGCTGGTATTCAGCCGCATCGTCACCCAGCATTACCAGCACTTCCAATGCTTAGAAGACATTTAGAGGTAAATTAGAGCTAAATAACAGCATAGAGCACAGAGAGCCAGGACTGGTGGCTGTAAACAAACTTTATGGGACCATAAGAAACTTGGCTGCACTCTTCATAAGTGGATATCTGGCTAACTGAAATCATGCCGGACCACGGACGCTGCTGGACCAGAGACTGCCAGACTAGAGAGGTTCAACCTGAATTATTAACAGATGAGAGAACCTCAGCCAACCTGTCCATCCTTAGCCCAAGCACCAGCTGAGTCACTTCCCTCTCCCTTGCACTGGGCAGTGTCCTATGCTTCCCCTCCCATCACTTGCAGGATCCCATGCACAGGACTAGACTATTGAGGGACATCTTGTCCTTTCCCCCTGGTTTCACAGAGGAACCTTTATTCTTAGTAGAAAATTACTCTTTCCACCCCCGCCAGTCATTGTCCGTGTTTGTTAGCACTGAATGACTCTGGAGTGCTCTGCTCAGCTATTATTCTGAGCATTGGTGCACAGGGTAATGAATCTAACTTTCTATGCTAGAATCAGAGAAATGTGTGGCTGGAAGGTACCTCAACAGGTCATGGAGACCAGCCCCCTGTGCTAAGACAGGACTACGTTTACCTAGACCATCCCTGACAGGAGTTTGTCTAACCTGTTCTTAAAACCCTCCAACCTTGTCATTCCTGGGGAGGAGGCTGGAAGACATTGAAGTTCTGTATCTCTGCGAATGGGACCCAAAAGCCTCTTTTAGACTCCTTCTTGTCTCAAGAGGGCTTCTTTTTAACTTTTTCCATTCCTAAGGTGATGCTGCCGGACAGGAATTGCTGCTGCTTGTTTGTCTGACGCAGCAATGCCTGAATTTGGGCTGACACCAGATACCCAAGATATAACTATCATTTACTATTTCTCATTATTGTTGATGCTGCTATTTACTAGCACTGAACAGTTAGTCTTCTCAGATGTCACCAAGAGATGACGACAAGCTGAATCTGTTTGAGTGCATCTGACATTACTGTGAAGCCGCTCCTGTAAACATAGTCGACAGTCATATGATGAGCCATGTGTGCAAATTAGTAGACCCCCAATAAATTCAGTGTGTATCCTATAATCCTACTTGAAGGGCATCTGTTATATAAACATCAGTAAATTTATACTCTGATGTCCTGGGAAAACACTGCAGAACCCTTCTGTACCAGTCAGGTTCCCCTTTAGCCTGCAAGACAGCAGTCCATCAGCTATCACTCGGCTGCAAAACGCCTGAGCTGAGCCAAA